GCCACCTTAGGTATATGTGGCTGGCGCCTTAGCCACTTGAGCCACAGGCACCGAGCCATTAGTCAGTATTTATAGTAAAAATATGACATTATATCCATACTATAGAATATTATAGAACATTTAAAAACAATAAGACACCAGGTGCAGTGGCTCATGCCTATAATCCCAGCACTTTCAGAGCATAAAACAGGAGGATCGCTTGAGACCAAGAGTTCAAGTCCAGCCTATACAACATAGCAAGACCCTGTCTCTACAAAAAAATAAAAAAATAGCTAGGCGTGGTAGCACACACCTGTAGTCCTAGCTACTCAGGAAGCTGAGCCCAGAGGATCACTCAGTTGAGCCTGGGAGTTGGACAGTTGGTGATTGCAGTGAGCTGTGATCCTTACACTACACTCCAACCTAGGTGACAGGGCAAGACTCTGCCTCAAAAAAAAACAAAGGGAAAAAAAAAACAATAAGGTAGACTGACATGTACTCACATGAAAAGATGTTCAAGTGTCCAAGAAAAAACAATGTCTCAGAAGAGGCAGGGTACAACACAATTGATAGTTCTTTGTCAAACTGGTTTTTAAGGCCGGGCATGGTGGCTCATACTATACCTGTAATCCTAGCACTTGAGAGGCCAAGGCAGGTGGATTGCCTGAGCTCATGATACAAGACCAGCCTGAGCACAAGCGAGACCCCATCTCAAAAAATAGCTGGGAGCTGTGGTGGGCACCTGTAGTCCCAGCTACTCAGGAGGCTGAGGCAAGAGAATCGCTTGAGCCCAAGAGTCTGAGGTTGCTATGAGTTACGACACTATTGCACTCAATTGGGGGTGACAAAGTGAGACTCTGTCTCAAAAAACTAAAAAAAAATTGGTTCTTTTTTACTTGTGTATATATAGGTACAATCATATGAAACTGTTTCCGTAGGACAAAATTAATTGAAACTCTCCAATGAAAATATTTGAAAATAACACCAAACTGAAAACAGCTGGTGCTTTGGAGGGTGAAGGGTGGTTTGCAGTAAGTGAAATAATAGATGTAGTGAGGAAAGTAAGGGAAATTTCACTCCAGAACGTTTGAATTTTTAACATTGAGGGCAGAGTAGTTCAGGCCTATAATACCAACACTTTAGGAGGCCAAGGAAGGATAGCTTAAGACCAGGAGTTCAAGATCATCCTAGGCAACATAGTGAGATTCCATTTCTTTTTTTTTTTAGAGACAGAGTCTTACTTTATCACCCTTGGTAGAGTGCCGTGGCATCACAGCTCACAGCATCCTCCAATTCCTGGGCTTAGGCGATTCTCTTGCCTCAGCCTCCCAAGTAGCTGGGACTACAGGTGCCCACCAGAACGCCTGGCTATTTTTTTGTTGCAGTTTAGCCCGGGCCAGGTTCGAACTCACCACCCTCAGTATATGGGGCCAATGCCCTACACACTGAGCCATAGGCACTGCCCAAGAGATACCATTTCTTAACAAAACAAAAGTTAACCAGGCATGGTGGTATGTACCTATAATCCCAGCTACCCAGTAGGTAACTTCAAAGAAAAACAAAAAAATGGCTGGCTCCCATAGTTCAGTAGTGAGCACACCAGAGGAGGTGGGTTTGAACCCACCTAGGCCTGATTAACCAAAAAAAGAAAGGGAAAAAAAAAATTGAGCACCTAATACACTTTAACATTGAAACAATAACATTTTTTAAACAATTAACTTAGCAATAAAAATAAAACAAATACCTCCCAACTCCTGCTGCAGCCCTTGAGCCTGTCGAATAAGAAATTTGATTGGAATCTGATCCATTAAAGATGAAGAGTATGATTTGGGCTTCCTCTGCATGGCAGCTGTCAGTCAAATGAAATAAAGTGTCAGAAACAACAGAAACCTTAACAGTCAACCCAAATGGGAAAAACAATGTCAAATTACTTTTAATTCACTCAATCTGTGAATATAGCCATAAAGACTGAAGAATCACAACCAAAACAAGTGGTTACACAACACAGGAAAATACCCTGAAATTGAAACCAGTGAGGAGAAAAATTATAAAATAAGTGAGAGAAGCAGCTACACTAAAATAACCAATAAGTCAGTCAAACTTTCCCAAATCTAATTAGGAACATCAAATGCAGGTCAGGAACATATGGCTTAGAGCTTCATGACTCCAATGTAACTTATAAAAAGAAGCCTTAACTTAACTATGTTATATACAGCAGTGGTGGCTTTGTTTTTTCTTTTTGACACAGAACCTCACTCTGTTGCCCCAGGTTAGAGTGTGGTGGCATCATAGCTCACAGCAAACTCAAACTCTTGGGCTCAAGTGATTCTTTTGCCTCAGCCTCCCAAGTAGCTGGACCACAGGTACCTGCCACAATGCCTGGCTATTTTTAGAGACAGAGTTTCCCTCTTGCTAAAACTGGTCTCGAACTCCTGAGCTCAAGCAATCCACTCGCCTCAGCCTCCCAGAGTGCTAGGATTATAGGTGTGAGCTACCATGGCTGGCTGGCTGATTCTTTTTAAAGGAAGTTAAGCAACAAAAATTTGACTTCCTTCTCTTCTACCTTCAACCAGCCATGCCCATCCTTCTTTTTTTTTTTCTTCTAAAAACTCCGTCTTACATCCTGTTCTTTGCTGCTACCCTACTAATTCAGTGCCTACTCATCTGTTTCAATAGCTTCTGTGACCCAATTTCCTTGCCTCTCTTCTCTTTTTATTTCATCCTTCACCCTGAAGTCATAGTCCTTTCATTTAAATACAGATTGGCCACTTTCAGTAGATTCCCAGATCTTACAGGGGAACGGGCTTGTCAGTAAACACTATCTTTCTCTGTCTCATCTCTACCACATTCTATATGTGCAGCATCCTGATATCACTTTGCTTGTATACCACAGGAATATATGAGAATCTCAGAGTATTTATAATTTTAAAAAGCATATTCAGGGCAGCACCTGTGGCTCAGTGGGTAGAGCGCTGGCCAATATATCGAGGGTAGCAGGTTCAAACTTGGCCCCGGCCAAACTGCAACAAAAAAA